AACGGAAGAGCGCGTAAATGGAGGAACCGAATGGCAAAGAGATAAAAGATAAAAAAGATGAAAAGATCTGCGATGGGGCGACCTTGCCGAGGCGTGTTCGTGTGAATTGTTTAGGTGTTCGGCGCGTTGTCGGACGTCCGAAGATTGCCGGCCGTGAGATGAATGGGTGGAAAATGCCCGCAGAGCGCCATCAGTGCGCCACTTTTTTTCTTTTTCAATTTTCCCTCGCAGCACTCCCACACACATACACACATACAGCGTGCGCTCACCTTTGCAACGCCGCGATTTCTCACGTCCGAACGAAAATAAATTAGACTTGTTAGATTTATATTCAAACCCTCGTCGAAAACGCGAGCGCAAATGAACAGAATAATTAGGTTTTTATTTTCTTTGATTTTATTCATTTCGTCGTCGGCATTTTTTCGATTTGACGAAATAATTACGTCGTTAGCGCTCATCATCACCCATTCGGATTTCGTTCGGACTGTTTCGCTCATTAATACCGACACAAGCGAAGAGCGCTCAATTAGGTATCTCAAACGACAAACAGATAAGCTCCGAAGCCGTGATAAAGCACGAATTAAAAGACGGCGGCCGGCAATGATTAACAGCGACCAACCACGCTCGCATATGAAGCGTATTAAGTGGTAATTATAATAATGACGCTGGCATCGGCTTTTATATCTCCGTCTGGCGTGCATCAGGCACGTTGCCCTCGGATGAGAGGCAAATTTTCAATGCAGTAAAGGGAGATTAAAGGATTAATATCGAAATTACTGTGACGGTAGGCCCAAACACACCTGAGACTGCTGGGTCCACAAAGGGTGCTCATGGTCTACTGTCACGAGATGGATGTGCGACAATCTCGCAGTTGTTGTGTAAGTAGTAAGTACTTACTAGAGCAGTCATACCATGAGATACGAGTTTAATCTGGTTTGTAAATTACTCAAAATTCATATTTTCTTATTTCTGCATCAATCACGCAAAATATTTGCTCAAAAATGATGTAAATTTGAAAAGATTGACCTGACGAAAGACTTTACATTGTATGATGCTTGGTAAACAGGCGGTGTTTGCGCAAATGTCTAATTGATTTGTGCAATTGCGACCTGCAACGAACGACGGCGGGCGGTAACGTTACGTGCATATTGTTGTCGGTGGTCTCGTTGATTGGAATATTCATGTTCCACAATGGCTATACAAAATGTTTCAAGGATTGCAACACCGTGGCGAATTCGGTGAGTGCCTCTGCCGGCGCACTCCTTGGGAACAGGCTGTATCGCGCATTAATGCGTTGCTTACACGGGGTGTGAGTGCCAGTAATTGGAATGCAATCAAATCGAGACAAACACGAAACACCAAAACACGCTCATTCATCCAGGGCAGGCACAGCGCCTGTTTGCGCCGTACTTGTTTTCACATTTATCGCTCAAGTCCTCCACGTGCCGAGCCTGCCGTGTGTGTTACATTTAAGTCGCGCATTTGCAAACGCCAAAATCCATGTGCGTGCGTGCCGGTTAATTCCCATCAACAGCATTAATTCTGAATGAAATGCGCGAACTCTGGCTTTCTGGCCAATTTGGCCGCCGCGAAACTAGCGCGCAACAAATGCGAAAGCAATAAATGTTTGGATAAAACCGTTGCCGACATTGAGTCCTTGCCATTACGGACGAATATTTGATTCCGCGTGGGCAGCAGAGGTAAAAAAATCCACATGCCACCTGTTTTCGGTCTAAATTCATAGCGTCGTGTTTTATTTGATTTTGTTTTCGCTTTGCACACACATGCTTTGTGGCGCACATGTTTTATAATTAGTAATTTTCGCGCCGCCGCTTTGCGCCCACTCTAATTGGGGCGGAGTTTTAATCACACGGAGCTGACACAATCAGGATTCGAATTTTCTGTGTCTATGGGCAATTTTGCCGCTCTGCGAGGGGATATAGGGCGGGTCGGTCAATCCTGGTGAAATCCGCGATGCGAAGCTTGTTGACCGAGGGGAGTGTAGGTCATTGAATTGAATTACAAACTTATTTACTGTCTATATTTGAATGCAGGATGAAGCAGACACGGCATCTTGCTTTTCTTACCTCGACAAGTTTCGAGTGTGTTTATTAGAAATCTACTTTCTTCGCGAGAGTGCCATTGTCGAGGTGTAGTGAAGAGTCGAAATGCTTGCTCTCCGCAAAGAGTTGGCGATCATCAATCAAATTACAGACGTATTCTCGAACCCACATAGCCGTAACCGTTTTGGCTGCGAACACACCGACGAAGTCTGGATTTTTTTCTTCATCGCGTGCGACGAGATGTGGGCTGATGCGATTGCTCCGCACGCCGGCCGTCGATTTCCAATAAATAAATATCGCTGTGCCAGATTTATACGTACTGTGCAATAATGCGCGGCTATTGTATCGCGCCGGCATCGCTCGCCTATATTTTGTTAGTTCTCATTCGATTTTATTTCGTTTTTCGGCGGCTGGGCCGACCGCGTGGCGATTTGTCGCCGAGCACGCGTACGTCGTTGCCGAGCGCGCGGTACAAGAGTTATGCCTTTCCATTTACTACCTATAAGTTCCTTTAACAGATTTATTAGTTCATATATAAAGTGAATTTCGAGCCAAAAATTTATTAAAACCGCAGATTTATTATCGTCGACGCAGGCTTTGTTTCGCGACCATTTCTATTCCCGCCCTTGGTGTAATTGCGCTCCCATGAGCAACCTAAGGCCGTGATTTTGGTGTATTCATGTATTCCTTTAGTGACTTTTAATTATTTGTGTGCTGCTACATATTCAATTACCTACAAATTGTTAATGGTTGTTATTGTTAACTTCGTCGAGTTGAAAAACGCTCTGGGCACTCAGCGCGCGCGCATATTTTGCATTTAATCGTCGTGAAATCGGTTCGTCCTTCGCGTCTTGTGTCGCTTCCACCTTGTGCGGCAATTAAAGCGCACAATAACAATCCGAACGTGCGCTATGTCTACACGTTACATAATCGCACTTGTTTCTTTAATCATTCCGCGCGGCTCTTCTAGCACTCATTATGCCGCGTTCGAAATGAAAACAAAATTCCAAGACAGCATAAAAACACTAGGAGCAGTCCCATCATTATTATATTAGGTATTGTGTAACGATTGCTTGGAATTATGATGATTTATGCATCGCACGTGATTTTTTTACCCGCATTATGGGCTTGTAGACATCGGAGACCTTGCATTTGTTCAGAAATATATCCGCAGGATGGTTTAGTTGGCGAGTTTGTTTTAATTCAAGATGAATATTTGGTTTTATTTTATTTATTTGCATAAATCTTTTGTTCCTATCAGCGGAGAGACGTCGTGTTCGGCAGAGAATGCAAATGAACATCCAAGATTCGAAATCTAGGACGCGGGCGCTTTTAACTTCTTTTTTTAACTCGCAGAGTTTTAATCCGTTTACGTGATTGTTTTCTGTTTTCGTATTCTTTTAGCAGACTGCCCGGTACGCGCTCTTAAACCAATACCAAGCTCGCGGTAATACATCCCGAATTGAATTCTTTAATTCCTTATTTTTCTTCGCAGTGGAGCACTTTGTTCGGGGCCATTTTTAACTTATCCAGGCGTAATTCTTGTACGAATAGGAGTACAAACAATCCGTACTAAACAAGTAATTTGGTTGGGTTTACATTTCCAACAACTTTCATATTACCGTTGCTGCTATTTAAGGACGGAGTTAATATTTAATTAAAGGAAAGCGTTTTTTATTGTTTTCTTTTCTGTGCGATGATAAACGACCATTTGCCACGAATAATTGCACCCGGACTAAGTTGACTGTCATTTTTTAACTTGATTTTTTTATTGTTTTGCTTATCTGTGTCGAGGGTTCGAAGAAATATGCGCGCCGCAGTTGCAAACGACACAATAAAAAAAACTTTCTAAATCACTTGTGATATTCCTCATTCATGGCCGCCTCAATGAGGCGAAGAAAAATCGTAAATGCATAAACTGCTTAAAAAAGAGACGTAAAAGACTGAAATAATATTTAATGGCAACGACGCCGCCGCCGCCGCGCGCCCAAAAATTTTTGTTCTACGTTGCTTTATTGAATAAGCAGGCAAGCAGGTACTTAAGACTAAAAAGTGAGCGAACGGTGCTTAAATTATATTTTTATGTGACACTCTTTCTGGCTGGTTTGAAGACAATCTGAAATGTGTACACAAAAAAAGCCACCAGGGTATCGCTACCAGGAACGTTTTTAAGCATCTTTCTTTTGTTGGCTCAGTTCACGTCGGCGTATGCGAACGCGTGTTACGTTCGACGTGTGGAGTTAATTAGTCCTTTGTGCCTTTATTTGTCGCGCGCTTGTTCTACGTGTACAACGATCACAGATAAGGCGACAAAAAAAAACTTATGGCGAAATTACGCACTATGAAACTCGACTCCGGAACAAAGTGCACAGTATTTGGTCGAAAAGTGAGGAAACTGTTTCTGGTTGACGTACACAAGTGTGATTTTTATTAATCACGCTCCGTTTAGCGCGTTTTGCATGAGAACCTGTCAGTTTTCCTAGAAAACTGTTTTTTTTTTGAAGGTACTTTGTTTTATTTAAATTCCAAAGGTTAGAATTGTATTTTTACGCATGTAATTTTTCGTTCTTCATGTATTGAGAGTTTCTCATCTGCTGTGTGTGGTGAGTTGCGACTTGCTCTCACAGGTCGCGTCGAAGAAAACCGAAGAGAACGTTGTTAGCAAACAAAAGAAACACGGCACACGCGTTGCGTTCCGTTGCGCGCGACGTGTTCCTTCGGCCGAAGAAGGAGCGAACATGTGTGCACCTGAAGGTCGCACGTTTCGTCCTTGACCACTCCGCGGTCTTCAACGCGTCTGGGCACACATACGCGAATCTCTGCGAGTACAAACTTATTATTACACATTCATTAAGCTGCTTTGACTTTGGGATGTTTGCTGGCGTTTTGCACGTTGATAAACGGTTTGTTTGATGTATTTGTGTTTGCTTGTTGCAGAAGCCGCTTTGCCGAGGACCCGCCGAAGAGCTGCTGTGGCCTGCTAGCATGGCGACCCGGTTCCCTGCGGTGGTTCATCGCGCTCATTGCCTTGGTGGCGGTATGCTGTGTGTTGGTTGGTACCGCGTTGGGCGCGATGGGACCTTCTGGCCGTGACCATCTCACCGTCTCCCTGCTTATGATCGGTGAGTATTATTGCATCGCGTTGTGCGTGCTGGATTGTGCGCACTGGACCAATGGATGAGTTAAATTTCAATTCGTCGCTATGGCGACTGACGCAGGCAATCTGCCGGCTTAATAATGCGATAATTAAGTCGCCTCCGTCCCCCGAGCGCGAAACGTGCACGCCACCGGCACGCAATGGCGGCGCTGTTCGTTGTTCGCGATTACAATGTATTACATAACTGGAATGCATGGCGCCGCCGAAAACGAGGTTGTCAACGACAACCAATCTCATACTATCAACAGCCGCCAAATCCGAAATCAACGCGCTGCCGTAATCCGAAAGCTCGCGAAAGCTTCGTGTCGCACGCAAATGGCTCTCGCCCGCTGCGGATGAGGCATGCACGAGTCATTGTTGTTTTGATTAAATGCATTCTCCGATCTTGTGCGCTCAGGGGTTTACTAACGCGGAAGCCGATGTTAGAATTTAATTTGTTCGAATTGCCGCCGCCGCCGCCGTGCATTCAGCGTTTGAAATGTTCGCATTTTATTCATAGCTACACTTCGCCAACTTATTGCATATTTGACTCTCTTTGACTCCCTGTCTATTACCGCTACGGCATAATGGCATTTTTGTACTTTCATTCGTTCATCGCCCGTCGAGTTTCGTTTTGTTTCGGCGCACCGAAAATTGAATCTACTCGAAAACCATATTAATGAAGTTGGAAATGACGTTACGCCTGGCATGTTATGTCTCTCGTTTGATATGCCAGCAAAAGGTCAATTAACGAGCCTGGTTCGTGCGTCAAAAATATCTCGTTCGCCTTTCGCCGATCCGGCCACCCGCTTGCATCTCAATTCGGCATTTGTACGCTTCGCAATTTTAATGCTGGATTCGCCCCGGCGGATCGTCTCATCCCATGTTTCGGGCATTTCCGTTATTTATTTGTTCTCGTGCACCCCTTTAGCGCTTTGTTATGCAATTGTAGGAATGGAAAATGAAAATTGCTGCCGCTCAAAGGAGAAATTGGCAATGGAGACTGCGAAAAATTTGACTGCATTATAATCCTTTATTTGACGCTCTCACCTTGAACTTTTAAGTTCCCAATTTATGATCCTAATATCTGCAGATTCATTGTCTTGTTCGCAGATGTTCCAATCATTTAGCAATACAGTTAGTTATTTTAATTAGAAATAAATCCTAATATTACCGTTTGCAGTTCACGTCGGTCCTATTATTATATCTGTCCGATGCAGATTGAGCACAGAGAGCGGTGAGGCTGCGGCGTGTGAAGGGTTTTCGCGTAACGTCCAGTGCGATGCACCTTAAGACTTTCGTCGGCGCACTGAGCATAGCAATTATACACATGTGCTGGTGCATTGAATGCGTCTTGCGTTCGCAAGCTGGTACTTAGTTCTAACGGTACCGTAAACTCTTTTGCTGCATGACGTACGCGAAATGCGCGCACATGCACACGCTGCATCGCTCAGGTGCAGTTATATTCGCTTCTAACCATCTGAACATTTCTGTTTCCTTTACAGGCGTCGGCATCATCTTGGTGACCGTGAGCGGCGTTGCGTGGAGATTGACGTCGCACGACTCCTCAACGTGCCGCTCCATGCTGGGCCTCGGCTCGACGGAATCCGTGGAAGCGTGTCCCCGACGGTTTGTACCGCGGCTACCACCTTCATACGGACGGCCACACCATCCTTACGCCGCCATGATGTACCCGGAGTTCCAGTACCGCCCGCCACCACCTAGCTACCAGGCATCCATGCAGGAGTATCGGTTGCGGTTGTTGCTACTGGATCGCGGCAACACCCCGCAGATTCAAGCCGGTCTTCAGAATGCTGTCTCACCACCTCCCACGTACCGTAGTCACAGTGGAAGTCTTCTACGGTATGGAAACCTTCATGTACAAATAAAATAAGCAGTCTAATTGATAATATTTACGTTTTAGTGTTCCTTTGCCAAATCGGCGTGATGCGTCCCAATCGGAGTACAGTTGCCCGCCATCTTACCGCTCGCAAAATTCGTCATCCCGTGCTGCAGCAATGCTACAAAGCAATTCCATAATGCATAGTCGAGAACAGTCTCTCAGTCTCTCCGAATCCAACCAGGACGGATCAGTGGTCAATGTTGTCAATATACTTTCGACCAATGAAGAGGACATTACGTTGGACAATATTACGCTAGATTCGCTGAAATTGGAGCCGGATGAAATAAACCCGTTGAAGATGCTGCTCAAGGGCTCTTCTGGCGAACTGGATGGTACCAAGGATGGAAATTTGGTAACCATCGTTCAGACCAATGACCAGAGTCCAGTCATCGTCACTGTCAGTGGAAGTTCACATGTGGACAACTGTAACGCCGTGACTGAGATACCAAACGAAATGGAAATTTTGGCGCATCTGTAGGACCGAATATTATCATTAGCGGCAGGTCTCGTTTCAGACGGGACGTTTTTTTGAAAGTTTCACGCACTGAATTTCGAAACTTGGACAGTTTGATTATTGGCTCTTTGTTTTTTATGTTTGTTTAGTGAAATTGACGAAGTTTATTGAGTATTATGCGTGCCCAACAATGCTGCACGTGGACATTGTTAATAGGTAGTAAGTTGCCCGAAGATTCAAACTGAAAATGTTTGTTGGTCGCTCAAAATATTCAATATATGGTTTTGTTATTATATACCTGTATGTATATTGCGATATTATGTGCCTATATTGTAGATAGGACTGTATAATATTATTATGTATGAATAATCTATTTTAATTTGTATCATAAAACGCTTTTATATTTAAATGAAGAGTTTTATTGAAAAATGCCCTTCGAATAACACTATTTTTGTCCCATAAATTGTATTTTTTCGGTCGAATAACAGTCAAACTATGTTTCGTTAAATATTTTCCCTCAAATAACAAGGTCGAAAGTTTTCAAAAAAAAAAAATTCTGGTCGAAACCGTCAAAATCTGTCGAAATGCACCTCCCCCCAAGAAAGGTTTATATGATTAAATGGCGCTTATCTCGACAACTAAAAGGACTAGAAAAAAAAAAGAACTACATATTCGTGATCCTTGAAAAATTCTGAACAAGATAGCATGCTTATCGAAAAACGACAAAAATGGCACAAATAATTTTAAAGAAAAGATTTTGTTATAAAAAAGGCAAAAGATTTCTCTTTTTTATGTTGAAAATTAAAAGTTGGAATTTTTCAATTCTGTTTTCGGATTCTGATAGATTATTTAATTCTAGATCGACTATTTTAGTAAATTTTTTTGCTGGCATTAACCGTTTAGGTTCTATTTGCAATTTGAATGAATACTGCATTCGACATAAAAAAGACAAATGTTTTGCCTTTTTTATGACGAAATCTTTTTTCAGCAAATGCCACTTCTGTAATAATTGGAATTTTTAAATTCTGTTTTTGGATTCTGAAAGTAGATTATATTCTGAATCGGAAACCGGTAAGATAATTATAGATTAGGGCCCTATTAGCATAAAAAACAGCTTTTTCGCTTAAAATTTTAAATAGGGCCTAAACGGTCAATCTCAGGAAAATTCTGCTTTTGGCATCTGATAGACATTTTAATTTTGCATCGATTATTTTAGTCACTTTTTTTGCTAACATCAACCGTTTAGGCCCTATTGGCATTTTTATTGAAAAACTGCATTCGACATAAAAAAGAGAAATGTTTTGCCTTTTTTATGTCGAAATCTTTTATTTCAGCAAATGTCATTTTTGAAATAATGGAAATTTTTGTATTCTGATTTCGGATTCTGAAAATAGATTAAATTCTGAATCGGAAACCGGTAAAATAATTATAGATTAGGGCCCTATTGGCATAAAAAACAACTTTTTCAATTAAAATTGTAAATAGGGCCTAAACGGTTAATGCTAGCTAAAAAAGTTACTAAAATAATCGATGTAGAATTAAATTATCTATCTGAATTTACAAACAGAATTTTCCTAACGTTGGCCGTTGGCGACGACGGCCATTTCGCCGTGGCTTGCAGCGACGACGGCCATTTCGCCGTGGTATGCAGCGACGACGGCCATTTTGCCGTGACTTGCAGCGACGACGGCCATTTCGCCGTGGTATGCAGCGACGACGGCCATTTCGCCGTGGTATGCAGCGAGGGCGGCCATGTTTGAAGGGCATTTCAGGGCACTTCCAGAACGTTTAGCGCACTAAAATGGCATGCATTGTGTAGAGCGTTTCTTAAACTATAAAATGGCGGTGAAAAACTCAAAAAAAGTTTAATAGTTTACGAGATACAGGGTGTTTTCCACAGCATGTTTTCAAAATTTCCAAAAAAGGGTGATGTTTAAAGGTCATTTTAGGGCACTTCCAAAATGTTTAGCGCATTAATATGGCATGCATTGTGTAGAGCGTCTCTTAAACTATAAAGTGGCGGTGAAAAACTCGGAAGAAGTGCAATAGTTTACGAGATACTGGGTGTTTTCCACAGCATGTTTTCTAAATTTCCAAAAAAGGGCGATGTTTAAAGGGCGTTTTAGGGCACTTCCAGAATGTTTAGCGCATTAATATGGCATGCAATATGTAGAGCATCTCTTAAACTATAAAATGGCGGTGAAAAATTCAAAAAAAGTGTAATAGTTTACGAGATACAGGGTGTTTTCCACAGCATGTTTTCAAAATTTCCAAAAAAGGGCGATGTTTAAAGGGCATTTTAGGGCACTTCCAGAATGTTTAGCGCATTAATATGGTATGCATTGTGTAGAGCGTCTCTTAAACTATAAAGTGGCGGTGAAAAACTCGGAAAAAGTGCAATAGTTTACGAGATACTGGGTGTTTTCCACAGCATGTTTTCTAAATTTCCAAAAAAGGGCGATGTTTAAAGGGCGTTTTAGTGCACTTTCAGAATGTTTAGCGCATTAATATGGCATGCATTGTGTAGAGCGTCTCTTAAACTATAAAGTGGCGGTGCAAAACTCGGAAAAAGTGCAATAGTTTACGAGGTACAGGGTGTTTTCCACAGCATGTTTTCTAAATTTACAAAAAAGGGCGATGTTTAAAGGGCGTTTCAGGGCACGTCCAGAATGTTTAGCGCATTAATATGGCATGCATTGTGTAGAGCGTCTCTTAAACTATAAAATGGCGGTGAAAAACTCGGAAAAAGTGTAATAGTTTACGAGATACAGGGTGTTTTCCACAGCATGTTTTCTAAATTTCCAAAAAAGGGCGATTTCGCCGTGGCTTGCAGCGACGACGGCCATTTCGCCGTCGTATGCAGCGACGACGGCCATTTCGCCGTGGCTTGCAGCGAGAACGTCCATTTCGCCGTGGCATGCAGGGAGGACGGCCACTTCGCCGAATTTTTTTGATTAAAATTGCAAATAGGGCGTAAACGGTTACTGTTAGGGAAATAGTTACTTAAATAGTCAATATAGAATTAAATTATCTTCCAGTATCTGAAAACTGAATTTCAGGCTCTTTAGGCGTTTATATGCAAATTTTAAAAACTGCACACAAAGAATAGTTAATATTAATAATAATTTACTAGTACATTTATTATACATTTTACATAATCAATAATTTTTCACCTATAATATCATTTTTATCGTCTTGACTCGTCCCCACGCCTGTATCTGCATATTCTTAATAGTTAAAATCTGTTTCATCTTATATTAAGTGTTTTTTCTTTCTTAAATATGTTAAGTCAATATTATACATTCATATATGTAGCATGTAATTTGTTTGCATTTTCATTAAATAGTTTCAAATTTAAGTTCTTGCAAACGGCTGAGTGTTCCAAGAAATCATCGATCACAAAAAACCAACAGAGGTCTGAAATGAAATAATTGTATTTTGTCTCTAAGAGGTCATCAGTTTTCGCGTTAGCGTCGCTCGCGTTCTGTGGCCCCCAAATTTGCAGTTACGCAAATACTGCTGAAATATTTATTTCATTCAAAGGCTCCATCGAGTTTCAATGCAACGTTTCCTGGAATAGTCAGTATACGTCGTATTAGAAGCGTTTAGCGTTACTTTTATTAGTTTTGTAGAGCATTTAGATAAAGTTTGGAATGTAATTAGTATTTTCTGTGCAGTGAATGTCCCCTGCGTTCCATTTTCCTTGTGTGACTTGATACATAATCAACTAACAATGAATGCCATACAAAAATGTTGCAAAATTATCCAATCATCATGTGTGTTTTTGAGTATTTCATTCTTTCCTATTGAATAAATCGACATTCAACATCCATAAGAACATAATAAAAGATAAACTTAATTATTGGTACGTTCACGATGTCAGCGGAATCGTAGTCGTACAAAGTAAACATTACATTTACTGACGCCAGCCTCAACAAACATCGGCGAACAAATTTTGAAAATATGTATATATATATATCCAATCGAAACTGATAACAGTAAGCGTATGTACTCTTCGTTAAATAGCCAATTTTTGCATTTGTAAACCCTGTACATTGCACTTGGTAGATTTATAATTTGCTGATCTCTTAGTGGTGCGAAATTCGTCCGTTGCTGACTGCTGGTCTATGTTCAATCTCAAAGCATTTTAAGTCAACTAAATAGTTCTAAGAATTGTTGTTCTTGAGGCCCTTAAGTTTAGCTGTCGCTTACTTCTTTAGATTAACATCTTGTTAGTTGATCGATTATAGTGTATGTAGTATAGTAGTAATTCTATGATACAAGCAATTATAACACACTGAGATCGATATTTTGTTATCAGTACTTATCCATTGGTAATTTTTCTTTGGAATTAATCTAATAAATGTAATAAAATATGCGCATTTGTTGTGAATCCAATTTAAATTAGTTGCTGAATAATTGTTCTTCCAAATATTTTGCATTTCCTTTTTCTTGGTTTTCAAAAAGCGAATTTTATCTAAATTTTACTACGACCTTAGTTAAGCTATTGTTAAACTTCGTTCATGACGGTAACTCATTCGTAACAATAATATTAATAAATACAGATCATTTGTCAACAAAAATAAACGCTTCCTACGCATCACCCACAATGCAATCATTTGACTATGCATCATATGAAACCTGTACTTGAGCACACACCCGTCGGCTTTTTTCAGCATCGCGCCTTCACAACCCTCCTTAAACCAAACGTAGTAATTGAACATCGCGCGAGACGAAATGAACACAACAAAAACAATGCAACACTTTTTGTGACTAGAAACATTGAATAGGTAGGGCGATTTAGGGTCTTCATTTACGGTACTACGTGATAGTTGTTCAGCAAAATGTTGTCGTTCAGTAAACAAGTACAGATTCCATATTGAGCAAATCTCATTTGCTCGTCACGACGGCGCTCTGCTGCGCATCACCCTCGTACGTCTGCGGCTTAGTGGCGGCAACGGGGTTGCGACGTGCTGACTTTGATCGAATTTGGCCGGCCAGAAGCGGGTTAATGGCGTACAGCCAATCATGAACTTCCTTCTCATGCAATGTCTGCAGGAGGTAGCCGCGATGCTTGCTCACCACGCTGAATGTATTCGGTAGTCGAACCATTGCAGACTGATCCTCGGAGTATTCCACTTGCGCGGTGCCCAAGTTAATGAGGGCCCGTTCAACTGGATCCTTCTCATCGCGAAAGATGAAGACGTATGGACGCCGTACCGCCTAAAGAAGAACTTATGATATTATGTCCTTAAACTCGGGGGACAAATACATACAACCCAGCGCTTCTTCCATCCGTGCGTCTTGTGCTCCAACACGTTAAGGTAACCCTTGCGTGCAACCACTGGCGATATTCGAATCTCTTCCATATCGGGAACGTATAGAACCAACTCGGGATTGCGAGGACCTGGAGGTGAGGATGGTACAGGTGGGAACGGCGCCATCTCGCCGGGCAAAGCAGCACGTTCCGGCGAGCAGAGATCCAGGCAACAAGAGGACATCATGCTAGTAGACATTTCGGAGATCTCTTCAGAGGGGCTGGCAACTGTGGAGCCGCTCACGTTGTTGGTATTCTCCCGCGTGCGGCCTTGAATGAGGCGCACGCATTTGTTGAGGAGCTCGCGTTCCTTGTCATTGTATTCGTAAACTTCTAGGGCAGCTGTGAAAGATATCAATAAAAATATGGAACCCTTGACCTGTGTAGACAACATACGGGTGACATTCATGTTGTTGTTCTTCGCGACCATGTTGCACACCTCCTTTTCGCTCTTTGTATATTCGAGTTGAAGTTTGTTGACGCCACAGTTGCGATCTAAACCTAAGCGTTCACGTAGGAATAGCGTGTGTCTCACCCGTTCCACTTCTTCGAGACGTGTGAGTTTCTCCAGCTCCCACTGATGATCAAAGATCAGCGAGTCCCCTCGTGGTCGCCAGCCATGTAAGTTCTCTTCGCCTCGTACATATGTAGAGCTTGTATCAAGAACGCGACGCTGACGTCGCTGAACTCCTGTGAATGCACGAAACACAATTAGAGCAAATCATGGCAAACATCTAATAGACTAAATCAGCAGAATTCGAAGAACAGATGCAAGGTGGAGATATTTAAAAGGATGTGTGATTGGGACGAAAATCTATCCTATGGGGAACTACCTGGACTACCTGCTTCACTCGCGCGCCTCAACAGTAATTCGTAGACTCCCGAGAGGCGATTTGCTTCAGCGTTTCTGTAATTGCCCGAAAAGAGATGTTTCAGTGATCGTGGTCCGGTGCGTGCATCTCGCCCATAGATAACCATGCTAAGGTCCTTGGTAATGATTGCTGGGCGTCCGCAATTCTCCAACTAATAAAACAATTCATTAATTGGTGTAACAAATTACAAATCAAGAATAGCCTACCTCCAAATAAGCAGAAATCGTCATAAATATTTGTTCGCCTTGTGCAGATACGCGATTCAGTAAAGGTGAATTGTGCAAGGAACTGTCCCAGGCCGCTTCAAATCGGAACATAGTTCGGTCGTCGCCGGGAATCTCTAGGTACTCGCCAGGAAATAGTCCCAAGGATAATACCGAATTGTCATTGTCTTCATCGTCTTCGGACTCTGGGTTGTTGCGGATGCGTCCAACAACTAGCTCGCGCACGTCTCGCCACCTGATCTCGGCGGCTTGATCGTGTACAATGGTAATACGAATGCGTCGTTGGATACCTTGGTGCAGCAGGAACAGTCCTCGGCAAGGAAGCTCGTCGCTGTGTTCAACTACAACTGGTACGTACTCGCCGTTTGGTGCCAGCTCACAAATCTCAAACCAAACTAGTACATCCACTTTGGCATGGATGTGTGCCGTGCAAGGTGAGGGCAACGCACCAAACTTTGAAGAGCGTACTGGTTGGGAGATTGGTATCGATGGTGGCAACATGCGACGCGGTGGTTGGCGCACTGAACCTTCCAATTTTGCGTCCTTGTGTAGAGGATGCTGCTGGTAGTGCCCGAAAACTTCGAACACGATCGGTTGTGTTTTGATATACTCAACGAACGATTTGGACGTGGATACTGTTATCTGGACGATAAAAAAGAAAATTATTCCTGATATTCGCGTCAAGGTGAAAGATGTTGCTTACATTCTGAACGTGGTAGAAACCTAGAGGTGTGCCTTTGCCTGTGTTCTTGACCGGTTCTGTAGAGAAAGCTTCGTCGTGGCGGTGTAGGAAATTAAACTGGCAGAAAATATCTGCATACTCAGTGGAAATGCCCACGGCTTGTAGAACAGTCACGCGGAAGGTGAATTCTTTGCCGACGGCCAGGTGCTCGGGAATCTCTTCCTCCTTGACGTCTGAAGAGACTGAACTATCTCCGCGACCAGAATCTGCGTCGCATTCGATTAGTTCATCGAGTTTAATTGGATCTATAGCATTGTGACCTTCCACAATACGCTCCTCTAAATTTTGCGCATTCTTGTCGATGACAGCACCCTTCGGTGACTCAAAGGCAATCCTTGCGCTCTGTCGTACCCCAACCTGATCAGAGTTATCCTCATCCATGACTGCTTGAACGGCCACACGCAGATATCCACGAACGTCGCCCTTCTCGCTGACAATCGCCACTTTGTGGATCAGTGTGACTGGGTAGAGCAGGTTGCTCAAATAAACAAACCCGCGGCCCACAAGTCTGAACCACGGGAAGCGATCGTAGAAAGGATCACCACCAGTCAAGGACTCCACGTTATAATCCGGCGAGGTGGGTGACATCTCCGCCTCGTTGTGGTACATCTCACGCATCAACTCCAGCCTCTGCCTGGAATTGAAAATGGTCCCGATTAGCGCTCGCCGCAGAACGTGAATGCAGACGAAACTTGAGGTCTTGGTGCCACCGATTAAACCAAACACAAACAGACAAAAACAAACAAAGCACATTCTAGTTTAGATGTCTCCATTCGCGAACAGAGACGCAATATTACGATTACGACATTCGAACGCAAGAGAAGAAGGCGCAAAATGTAGCCGGAATAGAAAAAGATAAGCATTCAAAACGACATTCAACTGGTTGCAACTTCTGGGTGGCACCAACCTCGAGGGTATTAGACTGGAGAGTGAGAAACCCGCCGACTGACAGGGCGCAATGCAACTGAGCAGACCCGGATCCTCCCCGTTCATCGGGGACGGCG